ATATTCGCACAGGTCTGACTGGGTAGTTCAAGTGGGTGAAACGACAAAAGAGTAAAAAGTCTGGATAGAGTGTGATTGGCCGTAGTTTTACATAAATGTAAGACACTCGGTTTAGCAAAACGCAGAACTTTCGACATCAATTTTCATTCATCTTTTTGGCATAGGCCATCCACTTTTTACACAAACACGCGGTCGCGTGAAAACGAGGCAAATAGATTACGTAATCCCTAAAAAGAGTTCCTTATTGGGAGGGGTTTGAAACAACTTAAATTTACCATCTAATAATATAAAATATATCATTGTTCTTACAATCCAACATACACCCCTCCAAGGTAAATGTTGTCCTCAACATTGAATCTGTTTTCTTGAAACTTTGCTTCCGGGTCACTGTTTCTCACTTCAGTTCTTGTAATGGCGCCTTACAACAACTGTCCAATCAACTCTCTTCACTTTTGTATCACTGCAACCCGACAATTTGTCTATTCAATACAATATGTTGTATCAGTTAAACTGCTCGCAGTCAACAATTTTTCTTCTGGTGAGTCACACCTTTTGTTGATGTCGTTTATAACAATTTTATGCAAATTTTAACGATTAAGTGGTCCATTTCCAAACACGATAATGTTTTTTTTGTTATGAATAGCTATTAAAAGTACTTTGTCACAATGTTCCACATGATGTGTCTTTATGTACAATATATCGGTCTAATTGGTAGCATTCTGTGGCCTCCTGGTATGAACATCGGGTGAATGAAGACTGGTGGTGTTACAGGAAACTGTCCTTGGGCGTTTCCGAATGGTTGCTGTGGAAAAACTGAATTAACAAAATAGTTAGCTGAATTTCCTGGGGCTGCGTACATCAACCGAGTTGGAGGTAAGCGGGTTCTTTTGGGTCTTCTGATTTGTTCTGATTCTGGGCTAGCAGGTAGGTACACATCTGCTTCTGGTCTCAGGTTTGTTGCATATTCATTGTCAGCTGGTTCAGGGTTTTGTTCTTGTTCTTGAATTCTTGGTTCTCCCTCTGCAACCTGTGCTTGATTGATAGTATTTTCTGTTCTGGGTGCAGCTGTTTCTTCAATATCATTTGGGTAAAACCCAATTTCTTCTGTATCCTCCTCCTCCCCTTGGAATGATTGGTCTGCTGTTGTGTTATGACTATCTGTTTGTTTATGTTTCCGAGCTGACTTATTTCTTCTTGATGGGATTGGATCATCAGGAGTAAGCACGTCACATGGGAGCAATAGGTTTCTATGAACAGTGCGTTTTCGACCTCCACCCTTTTCTGGTTCTATGGTATAAACCGGGCTTGTTTCATGAAGTCGACTTAAAACTTTATAAACCTTGTCCTCCCAGTAGGAGCGGATCTTGCCAGGTCCACCCTTCTCTGAATTCCGTACAAGTACTCGATCTCCTGGATAGAGAGCAACTCCTCTGGCTTTCTTATCATACTGTTCTTTACTTTGACTTGCACTTTTCGCGGCATGTGTGAAGGCTGTTCTGTACGCCTCTTGCATTGCAGATCTCCATTGTTTGACATAAGATGGATAATCTTTCTGTGAACTATGCTTATTTATGTTGAATGCAAGGTCGATAGGCAAACGTGGTGATCTGCCAAAAAGCAGGAAAAATGGAGAATTTCCAGTAGCATCATGTTTACAGCTGTTATATGCATGTACAACTTTCGGGAGGTGATCACGCCAATGGGTCTTATATGTTTCTGGTAGTGTTCTTAACATCGATAGCAGTGTCCTATTGAATCGTTCTGCCTTACCGTTTCCTTCCGGGTGATACGGAGTGGTTTTTGAATGGGTAATATCAGCTGCTCTTTCTAGGTGGTGGAATAATTCATTTTCAAACTCCCCACCCTGGTCGTGGTGGATTTTTTCTGGGAACCCAAACCGTAAGATGAAGTCATTGTAGAGGTACCGTGCTGCAGTTTTCCCTGACTTGTCCTTTGTAGCATAGGCCTGGGCATATCGGGTGAAATGGTCCACCACTACCAGGATGTATTCATAACCACCACTACTCTTTTCCAAGTGCATGTAATCAACTGAAACAATCTCCAATGGAGCTGATGTGATAATAGGCTGTAGGGGCTCTCTTTGCTTAAACGTTGGTGGTTTTTGCTTCAAACAGCGACAGTTCCTCGTTATGAAATCAGTTATATCACGTTGCATGTGAGGCCAATAGAAGCGTTCTCTAGTCAACTGTACCACCTTTTCGGCACCTATATGCCCCATTTTAACGTGAAGCTCATCATACACTAAAGTTCGCAGTGCTCTTGGTAAAACGATCTGTGTGTTCTGTCCTGAAATTCTCGTTAAGATGCCATCACTATCAAGTTTTAATCTGTTCCATTCATAAGCAAGCAATCTGGTGTTATAGTCAAGCTCCTTCAGTTGATTTGGCGTTGGTCTGTTTCCCGTTTTCATCATGTTTACAATCTTCCGGATACTTGCATCCTTGTCTTGTTCTTTCTGCACACTGACTTTGTCTATCTTCTTTGCAGCGAAACTCTCATCGGGAAGGTGATTATTACTGAAAAGAGCGGCTGATGGATCTGTAAGCACATATACCCAAGCAGTGTCCTCATTAGATCTCTGTTGCACAACATCAATTGTAGCATCGACCATATCAAGTGTACTTTTGTTTGTGCATGTTGACATATACTTCTCCATATCATAAGGAAGTCTCGAGAGAGCATCAGCATCACCATTGGATTTTCCTGGCCTGTACTGAATTGAGAACTTGAAATCTGCTAATTCTCCAACCCATCTAAGAGCAGTTGCATTCAATTTTGCTGTGGTTAGTACGTATGTGAGTGGGTTGTTATCAGTGAAAACTTGGAATGGTGGAGAATAATACAAGTAGTCCCTAAAATGATCAACAATGGCCCATTTCATGGCGAGAAACTCAAGCTTCCCTGAATGCATGTGGTAATTTCTCTCACTACGAGTTAGAGTCCTGGATCCATATGCAATAACTCTGAGTTTCCCTTCTTGACGTTGATATAGAACGGCCCCAAGTCCTTTCTGACATGCATCAACATGTAAGATATATGGCAAGCTTGGGTCAGGGTAGGCCATAATTGGTGGACTAATCAAGTGTTTGATCAACTCTTGCAGTGCTGTCTGATGTTCTTCTGTCCATTCTACTTTTGATGATGATGACACTTGCCCATTGTGATTCTTTCTGTCTCTTCTCTGATATTGGCTTTTGACTTGGCTTTCATTAGAAGTGAGTAGCTCATATAGTGAACTTGCAATTATTGAGAATCTTGGTATGAAACGACGATAATAGCTAAGCAAACCTAATAGGTGTCTGACTTCACCAACTGTCTTTGGTATTCTATCTTGCAAAGATGTCACTGCTTTGATGTTGTCTGGATCCATTATATAGCCTTTATCGGACACAATGCGCCCCAGAAACTTGACTTGCTTCTTGAAAAATGAACATTTACTTGGTTTCAATTTGATGCCATGTTGGTGTAAGCGTTGCAATACTTGGCGGACATGTTCTACGTGTTCCTCAAAAGTTTTGCTATACACAATGATATCATCGAGGTATGGAAGGCAGGTTCTATCTCTTAGATCACTTAAACTTTGTTCCATGAACCTCTGGAAGGCAGCAGGCGCATTAGTAAGTCCGAAGGGAATCCGTTCCCACTCAAAGAGTCCCCACGGTGTCACAAATGCTGTTGCCGGTTGACTTTCTCGTCCAACAAACCCCTGGTGGTAAGCTTTACCTTGATCCAGGGTGCTGAACCAGCGATTTCCACCAAGACTGTCAAGGGCTTCCTGTACTCTCGGCAATGGGTGCATGTCCCTGACAGTTTTCTGGTTCAACGCTCTGTAATCAACGCATAAACGCAGTGTCCCATCTTTCTTGCGAACACAAACACAGGGTGACGAATATGGCGATTTTGATGGCTTGATAAAATTTCTGTTCAGCATGTCTTCAATGTACTGTTTTACTTCTCCATACAGTGGACGTGGTATTGAAGCATAGCTCTTCTGAATCGGCTGTGGGTCTGTCAGTGTGATGTCAAGTTGTAAGCCTGGAGCACATCCAATATCGCTATCACCTGCTGAGAATGATTGAATTTCTTCACGAAGCATTTTCTTTACAATTTCTGTTTCATCATGTGTCAGACCACTAAAGTCAATTTTTGACAAGATACTGTCTGCATCCTTCTGCAGGACTGTCTCCATTACGCAGTTTTTTAATGTTCCTTTATGCTTGTCCATGGTTTCACTATCAGTTTTAGGACGAATCAATGCAGGCGTAACTGATCTGATCATTTCTAACTTTCCCATTGGTGTTCTCCCTGGCAGCATAATGTCATGATTTGTCTTGTTTACCACTTGCAGCTTCAATATATGTGAAGTTCCTTTCTTCAGTGTCAAAACTGACTCTGTCACACTTAGTCCTGATGGTAACATAGAAGGTAAACTTGGCTCAAAAATCATTGGGGTGTGTCTCTCCAGGTAGCTTGTATTTGCTCTGCAAGGAACATCAATTGTTGTGTTCTTCTGAATAACAAAGTCTTTCTTAGTTGTTTTGACATCACAAACCTCATTTTGAGTTTGAGAGTTATACACTAGGTGAATTAATGCAGATGCTTTGTGGTCCGACATGTTTGTGAAGCTTCTCTGAATACTACTCAAAACTGCCTCCTTTCCAACAGAGTCTTCAATGTTACCACAAATAATCTCCTCGATCACATTATATCCAATAATTGGCCTCTCTATTGTTTCTGCTGTTACAAGAAAAGGTACCTGAATAGTCTGATTTTTCCCCTTGTTGTTGATTAGCTGAAAGCTGAGTTCTGTCCAGCCTTTATATGGAAGAATATCCCCACTTGCTGTTACAAGATTCAAACATGCACCATCTCCTAAAAATTCTGATATGTCCCTGATAGGTCTGTCAGAAAAACAATTGTTAAATTAATGAAACCTGTGAACCTGTGTCCCAAAGAGCCTCAATTGGAGTCCCGTTTAATGTGCACTGCACATGACACCTGCTACCAACTAACTTTGAAATTCTACCTTGAACCTTTGGAGTAATATGGCAAGGAAAAATATTTGGGTCTTGTCCATCACCAAGCCCCCTATCAGACAATGTTGAGTTCTCAGCCAGCTCCTTAATTGCTAGGCACAATATTTTATGTTCATGCCATTGTTTCTTCTGACATTCTACACTACAAGATCTAACAGACTGACAGCCACCACACTGTGGAAACTTCTTGTTATTATTTTCTGGAGGACGACAGTTATTACAAAAAAATGGGGTTCAACTTTCGAGGCTAACGACCACCCCTTCTCGGAAGCCTCCCTCCGTTTCCCGATTTCCTGTTCCTACAGCCACGGAAATTATGGTCAGGGCTACCACAATAACTGCAATGATCACAATCGGTTTTGCCTGTTTTCCTGCAAGATTCACATGTTGGTTTAGACAAGCTGCTTTTTTGTTGTTCTTTTCCATAATTTGCTGTTTTCATTTCTGCAAGTTCAGTTTTTAGAGCTGCCACTCCACACTTGATCTGCTCAACAGCTGCCAAAATTTTGTCATTATTTTCTGAAATTTTGGCTTGTTTCTGGGGATTTTTTTCCACAATTGAAATTTCATTTACTTTGGATGCTTTGTTTTGGAGTCCAAACTTTTTCTTTCTTTCAGACTCAGCCAATACAGCTAATTGCATTTGGTTAATCAGTTCCTCATCATCAACATTTGAATTTTGCAGGTATGGCCTTATGCGCCCACGAATAGCATCACTCAACAGACCTGTCTCC